TCATCATCAAAAGCAAGCACTCTGGGTATGGGCTTTTCCCTGCAGACATTATTTTGGATCAGTGTCCAGCTGCTTATTTCACCTGAGCAGAATGTCTTCTCTGTTGCACAAAGAACAAGCAGATGGCTAAGATAGAAATGTACCTAAATCTAAAGTTACACGCTGAGAAGAGAGTGGGCAAGAAACTATATTTCTTGTTTTAAAGTAATGATATCTCTAAATGCAGATATTCCTGAGCTGAAGAAAGGCTTTGGTCAGAGAGCTTGCTAGTATGGGTAATTTTTCCTGAGGTATTGATTTTTCCTTTTTAAACTCCATGACTCTGTCCCTGACTCCAGTGGATGACAACTTCAGCAACTCCTTGGCAGACTTTGGGCAATGGTTTCTGGCTTCAGCTTCCCAGAGCTTCCAGCTTGATCCACATAATAGAGTTTGAATAGAGGGCATTGATGTTCCTGTGTGAGGCCAAGAGAGACAGATGACTCCCCATAGGGTAAAATCGGAGCTTTCTCATGGTCTAGGTTCTGTGAGCAGAGGGGCCTCTTCCATGCCTACAGTCAGCCGACAGTCATGTGAGGAACATTGGGTAGTGAAGAGGAAGCCTTTGAAGGAGGAGGACTTTGTTTTGCACACGAGCTACTTCCAATCTTTGTCATAGATTTGTTTAGAATGAGACTGTTGCTGCACCTGATTAACTTGTCTGTCTCACATTAAAATGAGAAATGAATGGATGAAAATTCTGTAATTATTGTAAAAGTGATAGTAGAATACTTAAATAAAATTTAAACATAATATTGCACTAGCAATTGACCACAATCTAGTTTCCTATTATCTATTTTGAATCATGTCTCATGGAAAGGAACATTGTAGATTGTAGACATTGTTCTGCCTGATCTTTGTGGATTATAAAGCATTGTGGCTTATTGGAAAATCATATGATGCAGCAATACTGAGCCAACAAGTTTTTATATATTCTCATCACAATTTATTGCCTATCCTACCAGAGACAAAAGACAAATACTGACAAATACTCAGAGAAATGGGAAGTGAAAGGTTGGTTTTATCCAAAAATCCCATAGGCTTCTAATTACACAGAAGGTCACATGTTCTAACTCATTAGCAAAGAGGTAGGATTTCATTTGCTCTCCAGAAAATTTGTGTTCTGGAGTGCTTGTCAAGGGAACTACCAAGTAGAGAACTAGGTAGAGGGTTCTTGAAGCAAGAGATAAATTGAGCTCCAATGGATTTTTATATTCAGAATATGGTTTTGGCCCAAATCCTATCTAGTTAATTTTGATGCTGATTAGAAATTTGTTCTGGTAATTCTGTGTTTTATTTGAGTGCTCTCTACTAAAGAGATTCCCCAAAATGCTTCAGGTTTCCTGTCTGCCACAGACCCCATTGAGCTTCAACCTTTCATGTTTAGAGCCTGATTAGCATGAAGACTCACTTAGGAAGACTCTGGCCTCCCAGAGTAGGACATACAGATCCCTCAGGCATTGCTTCCATAAAAGATTGTTCCCTAGGTTTCTGGGGTCCTGGTCTGCTGCCCATTCAGACCCCACTGTCTCCTTCCTGAAATTTCACTGACTTGACAGTTTTCAACTCTATGTATTTCCTTTTGTTCAACAATACCAGTTTTAAGTGCCTTCCCCATTAAGTCTGAGAAGGAAGATGTTTAGACAGAAAGAGCCTGAGAAAGTGATACCTGTAAATTTATTTATAGAATGAAGCAGGTTCCTGACAACATTGGATTGTAATGTCAACATAATTCATGCACTGGGGATAAATATCATTCCCACAGGTATAATGTTTCCAGGGTTGACTCTCTTGGACTAGGCTCAGCTGAGAGAAGGAGGCTGGCAATGTTATTTCTACCCACAGTCTACAAATCTTGGGAGAATAATTTTGTTTTATTATTTTATTCATTTTTATGTGTTATTTTAAGATTTCAGTGCTGAAGATGCCACTTTTTAATAGGAAGAGAATGGATGTTTGTTCCCTTATAACTTGACAAAGTACAGGTAGTGGGTTAGCTGGTCTGAGCCTGTTTGGTATGTGGGAGGTGGGGGGACCTGTGAGCTGAGGGTGATGTGTTCTCAGTTTTAAAGAAATCATACTTAGCATAGAAAAAAAAGTCTACTATCTAGTATTGTGCAGTTTGCTAACTTTTGCCTTAAAACAACTGTTGTAGGGATGGGGACTTTGTTCAAGGATGACATTTTGCACAGCACATTCAAGGCTCTGGGTTAAATCCCCAGACCACCAAACAAATAATCAAAAGCCAACAATATAAAAATTTAACAATTTTCTGCACTATATGGGATCTCACATATATTTACTCAGTGAAACTTTATAAAAGCCAGTAAAATAATTAAAAGAGCCCCATTTTATGTATGAGAAAACCAGGATAGAAGGGGTTAAAATCATGGGTGTTCTGCCTGTCAGAGTCTAGGCACTGATTAGTCAGAAATTTGTTTGTTTTTAGTCAGTGCCACCTTGGACATTGATCTTCACAGTCAAACTAGATAATAGTAAAATATTGCTCATGTGTGATGTGAGCGACACATAGTCTTATAATCATGGGAAAGACACCATTACCACATACAAATGGGCAAAGTTATTCTGTGAGCACAGCAAGGTTATATGCTGGGTAAAGAACCCCCACTCTGTTTCCTCACTCCTAGAAAGTCATCTGACTAGGTGGTGGCTCTTTGAGCCACTGGCCTTTACTCTCCCCAAAGCTTCATATCTTATGGTCCTTTATGAGTCTTTGCTATAGAAATTCATGCCTGGATGCCCAACATTTGAAATGACTATAATTGAAACTGCCCATTCCCAGAGCTGTTGGAAGACTTGGGGGGATTCAAGGTCAACTGTAGATCTGTCTTTCTTTTGGCAAGTTAAGGACTCAGTTCAGTCTTAGGCATATTCCTGCTGTAGAACTATCTTTGTATATTGTAAATATGTATTACTCTCATTGGCTAATAAAAGGGCTGACTGGCCAGTAGCTGGATGGGTAGAGGTTAGGCAGGACTTGCAGACAAAAAGAGAGCCTGAAGAAGAAGAGGAAGAGGAGGAGGAGTAGGAGTAGGAGTAGGAGGAGGATGAGTTGTCGTCGTCTCAGGAATCATGAGGAGACATGGAGAGAAGCAAGATGAACGTACGCTGTTGAAAAAAGGTACCACCATGTGGCAGAGTGTAGATAAGAAACATGGGTTAATTTAAAATGTAAGAGCTAGTTAGTAACAAGCCTGAGCTATCAGCTAAGCATTTCTAAGTAATAATAAGTCTCTATGTGGTTATTTGGGAGCTAGCTGGCAGGACTGAGCTGATCAGTGGTCCAGATGGAAAAACTTTCCCTACATATTACTGGATAGCCAGAGGGCTGATCTTCTCTGATAGCATTTCTTCTCTTATTGTCTGTATTAGTTCCCTTCCTGTTGCTGTGATTGACAACACCCTGATAACAGCAACTTAAGGGAGAAAGGGTACATTTTGGATCATAGCTCCAGGGTAGAGTCCATCATGGCAGAGGAGTCCTGGATTAGGATCCCAAGGCAGCTGGTCACTTGGTACCTGATGTCATGGAGCAGGAGATGAAAGTGCTAAACTCCATTTCTCCATTCTCAGTTGTGGTCCCAGCCCATGGGATGGAGCTGCCCCCAGTTAGAATAGAGTCTTCCCTCCTCAGTTTATTAAATGTAGAAAACCCCTCATAAATGTGTTCAGAGGCGAATTTCTCAGTGATTCTAAAAGCAATCAAGTTGACAAGCTTAACCATCACATGATTGATCTCTGCCTGGCCATTCAGTAAGAAATTGAGGTTTCTCATACAGAGCTTGCACCCTGCTACCATCTTCTCTGATGTCCCCAGTATATTTCTTTGTGAGATTGATTGATTTACCTGCCTTTGGTTTTTAGTTTTGTAAAAGCCTTTATAAATTCACTTTTTCATAGAGTTATTTCAAGGGCACTTTGGAAAGAAAACAGAAATAAACACATGTATACTATTGTTAATCTCAAAGGTGAGAATAAGACCACTACTGCAATTTGGATCAAACTTGAAGCGAGCTTGATTTTTATTGAAGTGCACCCAAGGGCTGGCCAGCAATTGCCTTCTAAGTCAGGTTAAAGAGCACACCCCTGAATCCATTTCTTGGGCCTCTTTTAAGAAGTAAAATCATAAGTAGTTTACAGAAAAGAGACAATGGGGCAATAAAGAAATACAGAAAAAACAATCTAAAAAAAACAACCAAAAAACCTAAACCCATCATGTAGTCACCATGTGATTAGGGAGGGTTTAGGGAGGATCAGGGAGGGTAAGGGTATTCTCAAAAACAAACTAAGGTCATGGGTTGGGGAAGGTCAGGTTCCAGGAAACAGAGAGCAACTCAGCTCTTATAGCAAATAGAAACTTGTTTTTAACAATACAGCATAATGGCTCCTGCCTTCAAAAATGGAGTCAGGCAGGTTCCACACTATATCCAGCATTGGTGTTGCTAGAGTTTTCCTGCCTTGCCCACAGTCAGGACAAATCTTTGTCACCTGCCAGTCCCACAGCCACTCAGACCCAACCAAGTAAACACAGAAACTTATATTGCTTCCAAACTGTATGGCCATGGCAGGCTTCTTGCTAACTGTTCTTATAGCTTAAATTAATCCATTTCTATAAATCTATACCATGCCACATGGCTTGTGACTTACCGGCATCTTCACATGTGGCTTGTCATGGCAGCGGCTGGCAGTGACTCTTTCTGCCTTCCTGTTCTTTCTTTTCTCCTCTCTGTTAGTCCTACCTATACTTCCTGCCTAGCCACTGGCCAATCAGTGTTTTATTTATTGGCCAATCAGAGCAACACATTTGCCATACAGAACATCCCACAGCACATTGGTATATAGAACTCATTGAAATTTTTGTTGCCAGAAGATAGATATTGGATTATACCAGCAGGTTACTACCAGTCGTACTTTATTTTATTTCTTTTCTAACACTTCAGGAGATTTTCCATCATCTCCAAAATTATGAAAATTAGAGTATGCAAGAAAGGGGCCATATGTAAAGCAGAAAACTTTTGGGAAGATACTGTTAGAATTCTTAGCCACTTCTCCAGCCACATGACTGAGCATGTGCTGTCCAGTAGCCAGGTAAGATGCTTAGTCATCCTAGGGCCTTATGTCCTACATAATTCATGTGCTGTGTGATCATGTAATCTGCATGCAGCATGATCATGTGTGATCATGCACATATGTGGCATAGCTACATAAGCCTATATGTGCATGTGCAGGGGGGAACCTATAAAAGTGGGTTCCACCTATTCCATCTCTCTCTCCCTGCTGGGTCATTCCATAGACCTATGCACATCTTTTCTATTCCCTTCCCTTAATAAACTCTTATAGTGGTTTCATTTTTTTGTGACTTGTGGCTTCTCTCACATGATAAACAGCACCACTTAATAAATAACAGATACTTTATTTTTTTAATCAAAAATAGATAGAAGTCCATGCAGTGGAAAGGGGAGAAGAGGCATAAAGGGTATACCATGATGTCACCATCAGGCCAGTCTAGCATCTCCAGTGGCTAATTCCCTGGGGTTATAGGGACTTGTGGCTGAAGCTTGGCATCTTCAATCTCTACTCTAATGAGTTGAACAGCTCTTCATAGTTTTTTGTTTCATACCCATGAAGATTGCCCACTGGTAGCAGTCAGTAGGTGCTTGTGGATCTCTCAGAAAGGTTGGAGCCCTGAGATTTTGTTTCCTTTTTAACAGATCCAGCCAGAGGAAGTCTGTAGTGGGTAGCTGTTCCAGCTTTGACCTTGAAGCACTGCCCCTAGTCAGGCAGCAGGTAACTGCTACACCTATCTATGACCTGCTCCTGGGGCATGGCCTCTTTGGACCTTTAAGACCTGAAAGGTGTACATGCTTGCTCTCTTGACTACCTTGTGATCCTAGATGCTGGATCGCAGACCAAGTCAGAGTTCTCCAGAGAACTGCAATGGACTGCACCTCACCTCTCCTGGATCCTGTAACCAATCCCTTTGCTGGTTGTAAGTTTACCCAAAATAAACCTCTTTGACTATCAGATCAACTATGTGGAACTGCCTTGTTAATTGCCACTTTAGGAGTCTCCTTGTTTTCATGGCCCAGCGTGGGCTTTGTACTCACTAGAGAGCTAACGTAAGTATTACCGTAGATCAGTGGCTTAGCAGAAAACAAGTGGTCCACTTAGGAGGTGAACATTTAAAGAGTTTTACACATTTTTGAAGGCTTGGACAAGCTTAGGAGAAAAAGTTCACAGAAGATAGCAGCAGCAGGCTTTACTATTGAAGAGCTGAGGGGTCAAGGGAAGGGGGGTTCCTGGGAACCTCAGGAGGGAGTCAGGGATCACATGACAACAGCTAGTTTCAGTAATCTGCCCACACTTTCCCTAACCCTCTGAACTTCCTAAAGTCAATTCCTGCCAGGAATGTTTGTTTTAGGAAAGAAACATCACACAGCTTTAAACTCTCTCTCATAAGATTTGACCTAGAGAAGTCCTTCTTGTTGTTCAGTTTCCAACCCACTGAGGATGAAAGCCATTGTAAAATTAAATAAGAGAAGAAACAGGCACACGAACAAAGGCTTTGAGTGTTTTTCCAGTTTGCATGATTGGATTCATAGAGACAGAATCACTCTGAAAATATTACAAAACACACTCATGCAGCTTGTAAAGTCTGCTCTCGGGAACATTTGACAGATCATACAGCAGGGCCCAGCAGTGGCATTTAGACAGGAGACCATAGCAGGATAAAACAAAATCACCAAAGAGGGTCAGGAGCAGTGTCACCAAAGGCTGATGTTCACTTTCTTTATCAGTATTCTTAGAAACACAACAAATTCCTGGTTTGATATAAATACCACAGGTAAGTCCTTTTAAAGTCTACAGCAGTCACCTGTACAGCAAAGGCTCTGAGAAGTCTAGCGTTGAAGAATTTTTGTTTAAAACCAGCATTTCTCAAACTTAAGTAACTAATGCCTTTACTTATTTGTTTATTTTATGGAATTAAAACCCATTATGAGCTTTAAGAAATACCAGGATACACATACTCCTACATAAGGGAAACTAGGTGATTTCTCTTGGCAGTATTCCTAGTTTTATGCATCTATGAAATGTTCAGAATTAGATCTGTCATCAACGATCGCCTATTTTTTAAAAGCAAACTTGTTTAAACTGAATTTTCCATTTCTTATTCTACACTTTGTATGCTTGCTGTACTGGGGAGGAATTGAGTCAGATATTTGTCAATGCAGCAATTTTCTAATTCCTCATTATCGTTTCTTTGCATAGGAAACCTGTGATTTAAATGACAGCTTCAGATATATTAGAAAAGGCTTGTCTACTGGTGTGCTTCACATATGTGTCCAATTCTGAAAATTTATCTTTTCATAAATATCTTGGCAAAACAGAACTGTCAAAATAGCAGTGAAGGGTAACTCATTCTCATCCAGCTAGACATACACCAGCATGTGGCTTACCTGCACAGAGTAAAAGCTCTCAGGTTAGGTGGGAGCTCTCAAGTCAGATAGGAATGCTCAGGTCAGGTGGGAGCACTCAGGTCAGGGGGGAGCACTCAGGTCAGGTGGGAGCACTCAGGTCAGGTGGAAGTACTCAGGTCAGGTGGGAGCACTCAGGTCAGGTGGGAGCACTCAGGTCAGGTTGAAGCACTCAGGTCAGGTGGAAGCACTCAGGTCAGGTGGGAGCACTCAGGTCAGGTGGGAGCACTTGGGTCAGGTGGGAACACTCGGGTCAGGTAGGAGCACTCAGGTCAGGTGGGAGCACTCAGGTCAGGTGGGAGCACTTGGGTCAGGTGGGAACACTCAGGTCAGGTGGGAGCAGAGGATAAACCTTTGCAACCAAGTTCAGTCCGCTAATGCAGAGATGCAATCAGAGGATGTTTGCCTCTGATTCTGCCAGTTACATCTTAATATCCAACTCCTCTGGGAATAGTCTTGGTTTAAAACCTTCAACACATTTCATGTTAAGTCTCTTTTGGGCTGCTATAACTATTACTTCAGACTGAGTAATTTATGAGGATCATAAATTATTTTCTTACAGTTTTGGAATCTAGGTGTGGGCAGACTCTGTATATAGTAAGGATCTCACTCTGCTCACAGCTTGGCATGTGGAACACTGTACCCCTTGGGGGTTGTCACTGTTCCCCAACATAGCAGAAAGTAAAGAAAAGGAATACATTCTCAAAATTCTCCTCCCTTAAGACAGAGCGGGCATTAAAATGTTTTTAAATATATTTCCTCCCTCCAACCCATGTAATTCATCCTGCTCTCTCAAATTCATGGCCTCTGTTCTTTAATTCAAAGACACACACAGACACACACACATACACACACACACACACACACACACACACACACACACACACACACACACACACACACACACTACCAAAGCATGTTTTAAAGTCAAGAAATTACCTGAAATAGGTGGAGGCTTTATATTCTGTTCACCTAGATTTCTCTTACCTACTCAATGCATTTATTCTGGTGGCTGAATTTCAACATGAATTGTAGAGGGATAGATGGCAAACCATGGCAGTCTCTTTTGCTGTCTCTATCCTAAACTAGAAATTCTATTAAGATTTTTTAAATTTTGATTTGTTGTAGCTTGAATCCAAAATGTTCTTTACAGGCTCATATTTCAAATTCTCAGTCCCTAGTAGGTAGTGCTATTTTGGGAGACTGTGGAACCTTTTGGATTCGGGGGTGTCTAACAGGAAGAAAATGGATCTCTAATCTGCTTTCCATTTTCTGTCCCCCATGACATGAAAAGCTTTTACTACATGGTCCCACTGCCATGAGCTCCACAGTGTCTCCCTGCCATGACAGACAGAGCTTTCTGAAACCAGGAGACAAAATGAATGGTTCCCCCTAAGCTTTCCATGTCAGGTGCTATGGTCACAGCAACACAAAAGAAACTGGCATCGTTTTCAAAAATATCACATTGAAATGTCAGTTTCCCCCTTGCTCAGAAAGGCCATCTTAGGGGCACTGCAGCCACTTTACTGACCCCTATTAAGCCGTGCTTTTAGTTTATTTAGGCACCTGTAAGTCTGCAGGAAGACCATGGAAAATGTGTTTATTTACTTTAGTATGTGACTTATAAGGACGTGTGAATCCTTAGACCAAAGGGGTGAAAGATTATATGGAAGTTATTATTGTGGGAGAATTGTGCACACTGCAACCCTGCTGTACCAATAAAGTCACTTTGAATCAAGGATGGAATCAGCGGTAGTCTGACCAGGATCAACTATAGAGTTGTTGGAAGACGGAGGAAGTCAAAGAGAGGGACAGGAAGAGAGAAGGGGCTGAGGGGAGATTTCCAGGGCTTTGGGATGGGAAAAACACGGAGAGTTGGCTTAAGGTCCTTATGATTCAGTTAAAAAATCAGAAGTATATGCTATTCTCATGGTATTATTAGGTTTTCCAGAACCTCTTAATATTGTCACTGTCTCTCAATATGCAAAAAGAGTTATTTTATATATTGAAACCATTGAACTTATTCCAGATTATTCACAATTAACTTTGCTATTTCAATTATAAAAATAATTAGAAATATAAACCATCCCTTATATGTAACACATATCAGATCCCTCCCATATGGTTCTACCAGGCCCTCTAGCACAAGGTAATAAGGAACTTGATCAGCTGTTGGTAGGAAATGTCCTAGAATATAACACGAATTGCTAAATGGTCTTTTTAATAAACAAAACCCAGAGCCAGATGTTGGGGTGAAAGCTGAGAGATCAGAGAAGCAGAACAAGCCAGCTACAAGTTCTTACCTCTAGGAAATCCTTAGTCTCCAGAGTGTGAATTCCTGTTTCCTCATGTCTTATGTACCTTTCTCTGCCCAGACATCACTTCCTGGGATTAAAGGCGTGTGTCCTTCCCAAGCAAAGACATGAGATCTCAAGTGCTGGGATTAAAGGTGTGTGCCACCACTGCTTGACCTCTACATCTAATTTAGTGGCTGGATTTATCCTTTGATCCCCAGATAAACTTTATTGGGGTATAAAATACATCACCACACTAGACTCCTCAAAATTTCATACCTCAAAATTTCATAAGAAACACCATGGTATAATGAAGGTTTGAAGAAAGATTTCTCCATCACTTGACAATAAGCCAAGAAAATTATAAGGAAACATCCTACTTATTCTTTGTATAACCAAACTCTACTACCTACAGGAAGTAGTCCAAAGGGTACTCAAAGAAATAAAATTAGACAAATGGATGTGTTCCATTTTGCATAGTTTGGAAAATTAAAGTATGTGCACCATACTATAGATACTTATTTAGGATTTCAATTGACAACTGCTTTGAATTCTGAAAATGCTGATTCTGTAATTTCACATTTATTAGAAGTTATGGCCATAATGGGGATAACTGTACAAATTAATATTGACAATGCTCAAGCATATGTCTCTAGAATGAAACACTTTTTTTCATATTACAATATAAAACATATTTTATATATATATATATATATATATATATATATATATATATATATATATATGTGTGTGTGTGTGTGTGTATATATATATCACACAATCCTACAGGACATATCGTTATAGAAAGATATAATCTCTCTTAAAAAGAAATGCTTAATAAACATAAAGGGGTAATAAAGACCCCTAGAGATAGATTATACAATGTCTTATTAACTTTAAATTTTTAAATGCTAGTGAGAAAGGAACAACAACTGTGGAGAGATATTAGATAGTGGGAAAAACTGTTGAATTAAATCAGCCTGTGTACTTCAAAGATGTGTTGACTGCAGCCAGAAGTTTTTCTCTGATCCTGCCAGGCCCCTGCAGTCCCATGGTCTGCTTATAAAATAATCACTCAGAAGCTTATATTAACTATAACTGCTTGGCCATTAGCTCAGACTTATTATTGACTAGCTCTTAAACTTAAACTCAGCCCAACTGTTAATATGTAGCCACATGTTCCATGGCTTCACCTGTGTGCCATTATATGCTGCTCCCTAGATGGTGGGCTGGTGTCTCCTGACTCTGTCCTTCCTCTTCC